CCCCCCCCCCCCCCCCCCCCCCCTTCTTGTCCCTACAGGGCAAGGTGGGATCGGTGCCAGCACCGGTGGGGGTCACACACCATGGAGCCAAGCCAGGAGGGTGCCTGAAGCCACTGGAAGGAGCCGGGGGGCTGGGAGGGGCATGGAGCACCCCAACAGCAGCATGGCCGGCCAGCCGGACACGTGCTTCGGGGTGTTCAACGTCAGTGATGGCCGTGACAACGTGCAGAGCAGCATCGCCTCGCCCTGGTTCTCCACCGCTTTCGGCCTCATCGGCCTCTGCTCCAACCTCTTCGCCCTCTGCGTTCTGCTCCACTCCTCCCGCAAGCTGTCCAGCCGGGCCCGCTCCTCCTTCCTCGTCTTCCTCTGCGGGCTGGTGGTCACGGACTTCATGGGGCTGCTGGTGACGGCCTCGGTCATCATCCCCTACCACTTCATCAAGTTCCCTTGGGCCAAGGTAGACCCTGGCTGCCACCTCTGCAACTTCCTCGGCTTTTCCATGGTCTTCTTCGGGCAGTGCCCGCTGCTGCTGGGGGCCACCATGGCCGGCGAGAGGTTCTTCGGCATCAACCACCCCTTCTCCCGCTCCACCAGCATCTCCAAGCGCCGCGCCTGGTCCATCGTGGGGCTGGTGTGGGGCTTCTCCTGCCTGTTGGGGCTGCTACCGGTGCTGGGGCTGGGGCGGTACACGCTGCAGTACCCCGGCTCCTGGTGCTTCCTCACCCTCCTGCCCGACACCGGCAACATCATCTTCTGCCTGCTCTTCGCCCTGCTGGGCATCTTCTCCGTGCTGCTCTCCTTCATCTTGAACACAGTCAGCGTGGTGACGCTCTGCCGCGTCTACCACGACCGGGAGTCGGTACAGCGGCGCCGGGACAGCGAGGTGGAGATGATGGTGCAGTTGGTGGGCATCATGATCATCGCCACCATCTGCTGGATGCCTCTCCTGGTGAGGACCTGAGTCTTGGTGTGCTCCCCTCGCATGCTCCCGGTGAGGCCCCGTGTCTTGGTGTTGTTCCCCACCCCGCCGTGTCCCTCCTGGGTCTTGGCGTGGTCCCTGTGCTCCTCCCGGTGAGGGCTCAGTGTGTTCCCCCTGCCATGTCCCTCCTGGTGAGGCCCTGGGTCTCAGTGTCACCCCCTGCCACCACTCCGCACCCTGCGGGGGGCACCTGGGTGATGGGCTCTGGGGCTCAGCACCACTTGCCAGCAGCGCAGGTGCTGCCCGGTAGCAGGTGCCCCAAACCAGCCTGGGACCCCTCTCCAACAGGCTCAATGCCCAGCCTGGACCCTCATCACCTCCCCCACCCCTGGGCAGCTCATGGTCTCTGCGTGGACCCC